AATGACTATTTGTTTAGCGCATATCCCCGCTCCACAGTAAGCTCTGTGTGCTTTACTTTGCATTATAACCAGACCTTAGAATATTCTCGGCTTCCTGGGAAGCATACAGCGCAATCACCTAATAAAGGGCTTAAACTTATGAACACTATCAAACCGACAAGACCTTTGGCTGGCTATAGCCGGGTGCCCATTCCCACATGGATAAAGTGGGGAAAATTCGTTTAAAGTGCTTTTCCCGAAAACGCAACGCAACGTCGGACCCCTGACAGATTCGAACCCTTGCGGTTGCGAGTCAGAGATCCTAACCACCAGGTCACCGACGTCACAAAAAGACTGAATAAAAGAGGGAGCTGTCGACCTAAGAAGTGGGGACAGGTCATCATCATCCACTGCCAGATCTGCGGCAGGCATCGACAATCATGGTTTTCCATTCATTTCTTTGCTCGGATGCTCTTTAAAAAGCTACGTTTCCCTGATCTTTCCCCGTTACCCATTTGTTTAGGTAGTTCCTGAAGTAGGCTGCTCTGAGCCTACCCCTGCCTCCATTGCCTTCAATTTTACCAGTGTGAGTTAAGAGGCCCAAGACCTTTATTTAATGTCAGGTGTCCCAAAAACTCCATTTGTCGTTTCCTGGTTGTTTTTAACAGTGAGCGTTCCACGTAGGCTTCATCAAGTACTACTTTATTTGATTTCTTGTCCCCTTCCACGATATTCTCATTATTCTCATAAGAAACCATATTTCTGTTGCTTCTATTTTATTTTTTTCTTTGTACCTTCGCGTTTTAGTATGATCGCCGATACATGTATTTTGACACCCTCGCTTTCCAATGAGTCCAGTATCTGTACAGCCCCACTTAGTAGACGCGCGCTGAGCATCTCCGGGGCCTCATTTCCACTGCCGAAGTGTTTGGTATTCTGACCATGAGAGGTACAAGATACTCGCAAGGAAATGGGCTGCAATGAAGAATAATGCTGGAGGTGTAACACGCGATCCTGACGTTTTATTCTTGTTTCACCGGTTTGGTTGTTTTTACCACGCAGTGTTAGAAAAAACACCAACAGCAAAAAAACGACCCCAACAGACCAACAACACAACGACAATTTAAATGGCTAATCACAGAAAATCCCAAGCGAGAGCCGTGGTGGAAAATGATCAAAGTCACTATCATAAACGCCCTCATCAACACAATTTTTTCAAATAATGTAGAGGCTGGCTGTTTCGATTTTACTTGTCAGAGTCAACAAGGGCAGAGACATCATGTCCACTATACTCCACCCGAAAGAAAAAAGAAACCCTCGCCACACGTCACGGAAATTGAATTCACGTCTTCTCCCTCTACCTTCGGGGATAGAGCGCCTCCCTGCTACACCACAGGCGCCCATACCGTACTAAGTAACTAAGGTGGTGTGAGTGTGAAGTGCGATGTGTGAGGCATCGTGGTGAAATCAAGTGCTCGTCAAAATAATGAAATCAAAGAAATTGACATTTTTCTGTCCTTCGGGCTTTTTTTTTTTTCTTTTTTGGCTTAACACCTTTTATATCCATTTAAGAACACATTTCTGATCGGATTTTACTGTTTAAAAAAACACTGATTAAAGCGCATCGAGCATTGCATAAGTGGATATGTGCTATATAAATGCAATCCATTTTTTTTAAAGACAAAAATTGTCAATTTTCAGTTTCAAGCTATGAAAATTACCTAACTTTGACCGCCTTTTTCTTGCTAATTTCACCTCTGACACCAGGCGACCCTGACCTCCTTCAATCGCAAGCATTTCGACTTCTACTTCTATTCAACATAGATGGATATAATATTTTTTCACCAAAAAGAAGGCAAATGAACAAGCTTTTAAGGACAAACAGTATGAATTTTGTGTATCTATAATAT